CCAGGTACAAACATCTTGTTGCAATGTAACCTTGTGGATAACTGAGAGTTCCTTTGCTTGCCTGCTGGCCAAAAAGTAGTTTTTTTGTTGGTGCTTGGTATTGCAGGGTAGATATAAGGAAGCTTAGAAAGTGTTATAGCTGAAGAGGATTCCATAGGTAACAAACAGATTTAGTATTTGTGTAGTGAATTGAAGAAAGACTTTTAATTTTGGGGAGGATAATATCAAGATGTGTGATATAAGACAGAAAATACAATGATATGGAGTTATGAACTTATGGTCTCCACATATTGAAAGATATCTACAGACTTCTTCAGTCCATGTAGACAAATATCCTTGAGCTTATGTGGAAAAGGTGGAGACTTTTACATCCAGGTGGAACCCGCTATTCCATATATTACCTATGTATGACTATAGTTATTGAGACTTAGTTTTTGTTTCTTAAAATAAATGGTGAGTTTAGTCACAAAAAAAAAGGCGAGTTTCCTTTAAAAAGAAGCACAATAAATTTTTTAAAATGATAACAAATAAATTTTATTTTACTAAAAACTAACTGTGCAACTCTATATTTTTTAGAGGTTGGGGAGAATCCTTATTCCTTATCTATTATGTAATAGTTATTACTTTTGCAATGTTTCTATATTTAAAATTATTTATCTTTTTAAGATATCATTGTAATATTTATTAATTTTTTATTAATATTTTTTATTTATTATATTTTAATTCATCTAACTGTTTAGTAGCATAGTAATTTAATAAATAAAAATTGTATTATTATTAATAGAATTTCATCGTCCGACACATCAAATCTATCTCTAAAAAATTTGTATGATTTTATCTCTAATTATTCTTCTTTGAAATTTTTTTGACTCTACTCGCTTGTTTTTCTTCCACAAATAAAACATAATAAATTATCTTCTCGTTTTATAAATATGTTTTCTTGGTTAAAAAGACGGTTAAAAGAGTTATAGTTGTTACGATCCTCAAGTCATTTTTTTTTATTATTTTTCTCATAATATTGTATTTCTTGAACATATTCCGTTTTATTCTCTTTCTTTTTATTCTCATATTACTACTAATTCAACACTCAACCACATTGATTATTTTAGTCTGAATGATAATATTTATAGTAATTGTAATTTTCAGAGATGTAGGTTTAAACTACTTCTAATTCTGATATTGACACCCCTTTTATCACCACAACTACCTAACAACCTTCAACGAATGTTAATCCTCTTCCTCTCCTCCTCTTTATCTAACTCGTGACCGTACATTTACTCAATTTCATGATTTTTTTCTATTTCATTTATTCTGCTTTATTTTATTCTTTTCTAATATTTATTCAAAGTTTGTCTGGACTCTCTTTCTATAAGGAGACTATGTTTGACCCTCTTAGGCAACAAGCCATGATAGAAGAACTCTCTGCCATGTAAAAGACATATTCTTGGGAATTAATATGTTTTTCTCCTAAACGTGTTATCGAGTTGTATTTTATTTTTAGTATATTTTGATGATATGATTGATACTTATAGGTGATGGTGTTAACGAGGTTGATAATTTCGAAACAAAAAGTTTGAGATGAAGGATTATATACTCTTCACTACTTGGGGATTAAAGTTGACTACTCTCTCTTTAAGGCTACCTTATTTCTCAATCTAAGTACATTGTCAACATCCTTGAACAAGTTAGAGAAGTAAACAGTCCTCTTAAATTGAATGTGAAATATACTCTCCCTATTGGTGTTACTTTATCAAATCCCACTTGTAGCATGATATACCTTACATTACCAGACTTTATATTACTTATGTTGTTCATGTTATCAGACAGTTTATTGTCTCTCCCACTACAATACATTGTCCAACTATTCTTCACATTCTTTGTCATCTATGGAAAACTCTATTTCGAAGCCTTTCATTTCCCTCATCATCTTCATTGGAGTTACGTGTTTATTCTGATGTTGATTGGGCTGACGACTTCGCTGATTATAAGTTTACCACAAGTTTTTATATCTTTCTTGTAAACTTTTTTAATTCTTCAAAATGTTAGAAACAAGATATTATACCTCACTCTTCTACAAAATTGTAGTATTGTGCTATGTCATCCATCACAACTCAAATACTTTGGTTTGGTTGTGTTGATTACTTTTGGATATGTGTCTCTCTTTTTGAATCAACTCTCATGTATTGTCATAATAAGTGTTATTCAAATTGCTCACAACTCAGTATTTTATGAACGTACCAATCACATTGAGATCGATTGTCACTTCACTCGTCAGTATCACCAACACATAACACTTACTCTATTATTCGTCTCCCTTTCCTTACAGATTGTTGATTTGGTTACGAAGACACATCTTATTAAATATTTTTCTTTTTTATTGAGAAATTCTCAATACTTCCGATTAATGCGTCATGAATTTGAAAAGAAATGTTTGATAATATTATTATATTTATTATATCTTAGTTAGAGTGATTTAATTTTTACTATTATCTAATATTTATATTTTGTTATAATTTTTATTCTATAAACCATTGTCATTCTAATGGAAATTCTAACCTATTTTTACTTTTCTATCTGGTTAACCATTACTATATTCTCAATGAATACAACTCTATTTCTAATATGTCAAATGTATTAATAGTATATTTGATTTTGTTTTTGGAAGAATCAAAAACAATTTTAGAAATATATAATTGATTTTGAAGTGATTTTAAAGTGTTTGATTCTTTGTAAAGTAGAATTGATTATGAATCTGTTAGTTTCATCTTTAAAAAAATTGATTTTTTTTTTTGTATTATTGAAAATAGATTTTATAAAATTATATATTTTTTTAAATATTATAAATTTTTTATATTCGTTTTTTTTTTAATTGAAACTCTAATTTTAACATTTTAACATAAACATACATTATTGAAGACCAAAACATAGTCAAAATCAAAATTTGAAAAAAAATTATATTTAAAAAATGATTTTTATGAAAAATCAATTTAAAATAAGTTCAAAATTAAGTGATTTTTTGAAATTTAATATCCAAAAAATGTTTCAATAAAATGATAAAATACCTAAAATGACATTTTAAGAATAATTTTTGAAATCAAATTTACATTTAAAGTTTTGATGAAAAATTTCTTTATAAATTTTTTTTACATAAAATTATATAATATAACATTATAAAAATCATTTAAAAAACAGCCCAAACAAACGGGGATCTATATTTTTAAAATTGATTCTACTTAAAATTGAAATTTATAACTTTTGAGTTTAAACATGTTTTTTATGATAAAATTTATTCTCCACCTCAATTTTACATAAATATATCTAAATTTGAATCAATTTTATTAAATTTAAATCTTTTAAAACCAATTTTATCAAAATCAATTATGTCAAAATCAATTTTATTCACGGTCAATCCAAACGCATAACAACCAACCTTTAGCTGCTATCTCCCCTAAATAGATATTAACTTCATCCCTAGATTTGAGTACTAGAGTTATACTCGTTACATGGAACAATTCAAATTAAAAGGAAAACATTACGTAGAAATACTCCCTCAGTTGATTTTTAATCATCTCTTTTAATTTTTACATATATTAAGATAATTAATGATTATTATTATTTTTTAAATAATGATTATTATTTTTTTCTATAATATCTTTAATTTTTTAATAGTTTATTTAATTTTTTCTCTCTATAATAATGATTAAAAGTAATTTTGACAAAATTACATTTTATATTATATTGAATTTTGAAATATAACACTTAAAAAAATAATTTTTTTCTAAAAAATGACATTTAAAAATGAATAGAGGAGGGAGTAAGTGTAAAATGTTTGAGTTTATTGGTGTTCTGGATTGGGCCTGTCCTAAGCCCAACTTTCAGTGAGGCTCAATCCAAGCGTGCCAATCTGCTACGCTGACCGGTATTATCCTCGAACACACCCCGACCATAAAGGTCTTGTCGACCAAGGCTGTTTTCCCTTTGTGCTCGCGGGGACCATCCCTGACGAGCAGACACTCCTCCCGAGCACCTTCCTCGTAGGACTGACTGCCAATTTATCCGGATATTGCAGAGTTTTCGTGGTCTCAGAAAGATAACATTCATATCCTCCTGGCCTTGCGGAGGACGTCATCTAGGGTGGGGGTCACGTGCGGGTCCTCACTACTCACGTAGAACCTGACAGTCTCTATGTTGGACTTGTTTGTTCAGCCTAGTAAAAAGACCTTGGCCCAACGCTAAGGATTATAAATACCCTCTCTTCCGAGAGGGTCAGGTATTGAATTCAACACTTCTAACTCTTAACACTTGCTTGTTCATTCCACAACTTACTTTGTCATTAGAATGTCTTGCAGATACCTCCATCTCATTTAACTTCTGTCTGAATTAACTGTAACGGTTCATTTCTGATTCAATAAGATCAATTGATTTGAGAGAAAAAAGACTCAAAACTTAATATACCATCTCTTTATAATATGTGTGAATTTTTAATTGCACACATTAGAAAGTGACATAATGAGCAATACATTTCCATTTCACAAACTAACTACAACCTTTATTTTTAAATTCATTAAAATTCCATATTCACCCATTTGGAGTCACTCTCAAACCCTTTTCATGTAAAAGCTTGGTAGTCACATCTCTAAGCCATCTCCCCAATGGCAACAATTATTCCAAACAAATTAAAAAACAATAATATCAATGACAATAACAAGAAGCCTAGAGAAGAATAGTTCAACTACTCCATAGATGCTAATCATAATTATAATTATAATATATTTAACTTAATCATAGTCATAATTATATAAAAATAAACCAAACTCCAAAGCCTCCTCTCACATGACATAACATCATTAACAAACAAACATATATATATATATATATATATATATATATATATATATATATATATATATATATATATATATATATATATATATATATATATATATATATATATATATATATACACGCAAATTAACAACACTTTTCCTTAATCACAAAAAATGATTACCACATATCAAATTTTCTTAGTTATTATTCTCTTTCTATTATTATTGATTAGTATGAAAACCGAAGCAACATGTTCTTCGGGTTGCAACCTTGCTCTAGCTTCCTATTCCATACCTGAAGGAACAGATCTAACATACATAAGCAACCTTTTCAACCAACAACCCTCAGAAATTCTTAAACACAACCCAAACCTTAAAAACCCCGATGTTATTCTAAGCCAAACAAAAATCAACGTGCCATTCACGTGCGAGTGTCTCAACGGTTTGTTCCTAGGACACACTTTCTCGTACAAAACAAAACACGGTGACACGTACACGGCAATTGTTCATGTTGATTATTCTAACCTTACTACCGAGGATTGGATTACCAGAGTCAATGGTTACCCTCCTACGAAAATACCTGATAATGTTAAGATCAACGTTACTGTTAATTGTTCTTGCGGTGATCGACATGTATCGAAGGATTATGGGTTGTTTTTGACGTATCCGCTTCGTGACGGTGATAGTTTAAGGGGAATTGCAGCGGAGTATGGTGTTCCGGCGGAGGTTGTGCAGAGGTATAATCCTCAGTCGGATTTTAGTGCTGGACATGGACTTGTGTTTTTGCCGGCAAAAGGTTAGTTTTCATTTTTCTCATTATTAAAATATTTAATTACATTTTGTTAATTTTTTCTATTATTTCTCTTTTTCATCAGGGTAAAATAATTTTATTTCGTCAATTAATATTCATTTTCTATGCTCTAAATTATACTGATAATTTTAAATTATTTATGAATGATGAATCACTATCCAATGATAATCGTTTATATTTATTTAATTTAACTAGAGCATAAATATGATGATTATTCCACTTATTTTTAGTTTGTATTGATATTTTATATTTCATTTAATAATTAGTTATAATCTCTCAGCTATTTTTTAAATATTTTTCATATTTAAAAAAATATAATTAACTATGTTGATTTAAATTATTAAATTACGCTTCATTTACAAAAATATTTTTATTAGTAGTAATTAGCAAAACTATTAAATGAATTGAAATAGAATAAAAATGATAATAGAAAAATTATATTAATTTTAAACAGAAAATTAATCCTAGATATATAATTATAATGTGACGTAGGGAGTAGGAGTCAAGAGGCAGAACTTAGCTAACCCACCTATTAATGTCTCTTTCACAATTTTTTTGGACACAATTTCATACAATTGTTGGATAGTGAAATTTTGCAATGAAAAATAATAGAATATAAAAAAGATTCAGCATATTCCGCCAATGTATTTGGAAATATATCAACCCTGACAAAATTAATAAAAAAAGAAGCTAGAGATGCTTATTTTTATATTTTTGGTCAAGAAAAATGTTTGATTTATTAAGAACAATTGGCACTATCCGGCTTTAAAACAAAATAATACAGATTAGATACTTGTTTATGCATTGTCACTTATTTATTGTTTATAATCTTTTTTCTGATTATTTTATCAATCAATTGTACCGATTTATTTTACAACTAAGTAAAAAAATGAGAAATAAGTTTAGCCACATTAATTTTTATTTTTTGTTGATATTTCATACTTTATAATCATATTTTTGCAGATGAATATGGAAAGTTTCCACCACTGCATCTAAAGTAAGCTGAAAGTTCCATAACCTTACACATCCTTACATTTTCTGTTCAAAATATATATTTTTTAAAATTATCTAACTTCAACATCTATACTTTGTTTTTTTCCTACCTTTTTGCAGATCAGGTGATGTACACATTGCAGCTTCATAAATATATGTTAATCAATATATACAAGTGAAAGAGTGACATGAAAAATCATGGTAGGGTAAATAAATATTGCTATGTAGCTGACACTGTTAATTATGATACCAATTTGAATAGGAATGTCCAAAGGAGCCATTGCTGGCATAGTTGTTGGAGGAGCTTTTGGAATTTTACTTTTGGCACTCATTCTCTATGTTGTGTTCTATAGAAGAAAAAAAGTTGCTCAAGTAACCCTTCTACCAGTCCCAGGTGCATCTGAAGAACAATGTAGCCAACTCCAACATGGTATATATCATATTTTGTTGTTAACTGTCTAGTCATATTTTCTAGTTCTAGATTGTAGATTAAGTTTTCATGTATATATATGAGGATTATTTGTTCCATGGATTTAGGTTGTGGAAGTAGCTTGGATAAGGCTTCCGAATCAACTACTATTGCTTCTCCGAGGTTGACTGGTATTACGGTTGATAAGTCAGTGGAGTTTTCATATGAGGAGTTAGCCAAAGCTACTGACGGCTTTAGCGCCGCAAATATAATAGGTCGAGGTGGATTTGGATCTGTTTACTATGCCGAGCTTCGCAACGAGGTTTGTGTGTTTAAAATCTATTTTAAAATGGAAATTCAATTTATTAGCAGCAATTAACTTTCTTTTTTTTGTTGTTGCAGAAAGCTGCAATAAAAAAGATGGATATGCAAGCATCAAAAGAATTCCTAGCCGAACTAAAGGTTCTGACACACGTTCATCACTTGAATTTGGTATGACCTTTTCCTAGCTCCAATATTATTCAAAGTTGAAGCATGATACTGATATAGACACCACACTGACTCGTATAAACTTAATAATAGTTTAAGAAAATGAAAATGAATGTAACCATGCGTGTGTGAGACACCTAAAATACTTTGAATCTAAAGTGTCTCTGATACAAATGTTCTTATGCTAGTCATGTAGAAACTAGAAGTTACTTGCATAACAAGATATTGAAATATATACAGTTACTTATTTCCAAAATCATGATTCCTTGCATACACATATTCTACGCAGGTGCGGCTAATTGGATATTGTGTTGAGGGCTCCTTATTTTTGGTTTATGAATACATTGAGAATGGAAATCTAAGTCAACATTTGCGCGGCACAGGTTGAAAATAATAATCATAACTTGAACTTTGAATAATTCTAATTGCATCATTTTATTGATGATTATAAGACTCTTAAGATATTTGATTTATAGGGAAGGATCCATTATCATGGGCAGCTAGAGTTCAAATTGCATTAGACTCAGCAAGAGGACTTGAATACATTCACGAGCATACAGTTCCTGTCTATATACATAGAGATGTTAAATCAGCAAACATTTTGATAGACAAAAACTTCCGCGGAAAGGTTTGCAAATGCTTTATCCAATTTTTATGTATTTATCTTAAAGTTGAGTTCGGGCGGTTTAACTTTTCTTTCACAGGTTGCGGATTTTGGTTTGACAAAATTGACTGAATATGGTAGCTCCTCGTTACAAACACGCCTTGTCGGGACGTTTGGATATATGCCTCCTGAGTAAGAAAGTTAATCATAAATAGACCTTATATTGAGTATGTAACAATAATTTCGACAAAGTGTAACAATTTTTTTACTTAGATATGCACAATATGGTGAAGTTTCTCCCAAAGTAGATGTATATGCTTTTGGAGTTGTTCTGTTTGAGCTTGTATCTGGGAAGCCGGCTATTGTGAAGACAAATGAAACTGAAAACGAGTCAAAGGGACTAGTTGCGCTGGTTGTTAATATTTTCGACCCTTCTTATAACTCATCATTAGTTGTAAACTCACATGATTTGATCACTAATAGTTCTTTACTCAAATTTAGTTTGCTTGATGAAATGCAGTTTGAAGAAGTTATTGTTCTTCCGGACCCAAAAGAAGATCTTGGTAAACTCGTTGATCCTAGGCTTGGAGAAAATTACCCTATTGACTCGGTATTTAAGGTACTTCCTACTTCTCTACATTATCATATTAAATTCAAACTTAAATAGTCCCTAAGACCTACATCAATGTATCATACCGATATTGTTAGATTGAACGTTTTTATTCAGGTTCAAACTTGAGACTCTGCAAGTTATGTATGTGTTTTAGTGGTATTTCCTATTCCGTCTAAAGATAAAAAATTGTACTTGCAGATGTGTCGACTTGCGAAAGCTTGTACACATGAAAATCCTCAACTGAGGCCAAGCATGAGATCAATTGTAGTTGCTTTAATGACACTTTCATCTGCAGCTGAGGATTGGGATGTTGGATCATTCTATGAAAACCAAGCATTAGTGCATTTAATGTCTGGGAGGTAGCTTAGCACCTTGCTAATGGGTTTCTCCTATGCTTGCACCATATTGCTTTCTCATCATAGAATCCTCCTAGTTTTATCAACATTGGTAGGCATGAATCTTTCATGTTTCAACTGTGAATTTGTAAATAAAAACAATCATTTTTTTGTGAAACATCATGTATATCATTTTTGTCACGTCACTACCATATCATATATTGTCGTTTTACCGAAAATATTTATGGATTATTTATACGATGCATGTGAATATGCTTGGAAGGTAAAGTTGATGGACAAGATTGAATTTTTTTAGTTATGAACAATATATCTAAGGGAGTGGAAAATAATGTTGAGTTTTTAATGAATGACTGAAGGAAAGTAGAATGTTAAAGTACTATCTTCAATCGGTTTCGAATTATATAGCTAAGCCCCAATAGAAAAATTCTTAAGGAAACACATATATCATAAAAATTATTTTTACACACGATCAATTACAAAATTTTAATTAATTAAAAAATAAATATAATATTTTTTCTCTATTTTTTATAATTACAACCATCCCATAAATCTAATTTAAATTTAAAAAAATTTAAATTTATCTCTATTCTTATTGGATGTTTCCATAAATATAAATTTATGTATGTTTCTATGCCAGAATTTCTCGTGTCAATAATAATGATATTGTTAATGTTTTGCAATAATAATCTTATGATTAAGTTTTGAGTAATGCGTGTATTATTATTTGTATTCATTTTCCAAAGCTTAGTCTTAAAAGAGATCATCTTGCTATTAAAATTCCAAAGATGAGTACAAAGCTAGATTGAAATGCGAAAAAATTGCCTTCATGCAAAGTTGATATTGTCTAAGGTTGCCTCTTTTTAGGAGTCGTTTGAGAGTTGATTTTAGAGAATTTTGAAGGGAAATGTTTCAGAGGTTTGTTTTTATATTTTGAAATGTGTTTAATATTTTAAAATAATTTAAAAAATAATATGATTTTATATGCTAATGTAGTATATTGTTTTTTAAACTTCTTAAAAATATTATTGTGAATAACAATAAGATTCAATTTCAATTTGTGAGATAAAGAATAGTAGCAATCAAATTAAATGACCTTCAACAATTATAATCAATAAACAAAAAATATAACAGAATAAAACGAGAAAGAGAACGAAATGCTTGTTTATTCAGTTCGATCAAACGATCTACTATGGAGGAGAGAGCAGCTCTGCAATTCACTATACTCAGAAAATTGTTACAAAAGATTACAATTAAGTTTTAAGAAAGTAGTCTTCGCCTTCAAGGTTCTCAATAACAATTCTGAAGGCGCCAAAGAACAACCCTACAACTCTATTTTTTACCCAAGTGTTTCTCAATCTCTCCAACTACTACAACATTTAGCCTCTCCAATGTGTAACCGGTGTTTCTCAATAACCTTAAACAACTTTAAAGGTTTCCCTAAACCTTTATCTTTCTAAGATTTCCCTTGAGAATACCCTAAATCCTTGCTCTCCCTTTGTTCTGTAAACTCTAAGGCTATGTTTGGGAGTTTAGAGGGGAAGAGAGGGGAGAACTTTGAAAAATAGGAAGAATTTGGTGAAAAGAATATAAAGATTTTGTTTGGGAGGGTTTTGGAGGGTTTGATTTTCTTCGTAACACCAAAAATCCCCTAATTTTGGAGAACTCAAAATTTGTATTAGGGGAGGATTTTGGAGGGCTTAATCAATTTATTCAAATATAATTTTTATTGTTATAACATTTCAAAAACTAAAAATACATTAATGATAAACATTATTTTATCATTCTAAACAAAGTCTTTTTTTCAAAAAATGTTAAAAATTTATTACATTTAAAAAAAAATCATTTTTGAAAGCCCTCCCTTTCTCTCCCTTCAAAACTCCCAAACATAGCCTAAGATTCAACCCCTTTAAACACAACAAAGAGATACATATTTATAATAGCAAAAACACAAGCCCAAAAAACACAACCTATTAATTATTAGAATAAAATATTATAGGATTAAATATGTTTTTGGTCCTCCTAAATATCTCATATTTACTTCGAGTCCCTCTAAAAATTTCCTTCAAAGAACGGTCTTTCTAAAAAATTTAATTTTAACTTTTGGACTTTCATATGCCAAAATCGTCACTAAAATTATCGTTAATTCTGTCGCTAAATAAAAAATCATCGTTAAAGTCGTCGCTAATTCTGTCACTAAATTGTAAAAATTGTCGTTAAATTGCAGGAGAGACCAAAAGTTAAAATTAAAATTTTTAGGAGGACAATTCTTTGAAGGAAAATTTTGGAGGGATGTGCTCCATTGTTGGTGCTTGGGCTTGGGTGATGATGAACAATCGTCATATGGTTACTGATTACCCTTTGTCTTTTTGGTGATCAGGGAACGTCGATCTTTACGGGGAGGAGTGCGAGAAACGAGATTTCTTGCTTCTCTTGTGCGGGACGGCGACCACGCCTTGATTGCGAACCCTTTTCATTTTCCTCCTTTTGAGTACTTCAATAAGGGATGGGAGAATAGATGCGAACACAAATGTAAACACACGTGCAAAATACCTACTTCAAAAGTAGGATTTTAAACAAACACAGATAACATACAGAAAGTAATGCCTGCTACTGGACTTTAAACAGCGACTTCGAGCGCACGCTCTTTATTTCTTACTTCTCACGATATCTAGAAAGCAGTAAAGTGTTGAAATGAGATAAACAAGAGAAGATACCAAACAAACAAGAGTTCGTAGCAAAGCATGCAAAGTAGAGAAACCCGAAAAACTTCGATTAAGCTTCACTAAGCAACAGATAAGAGTCAGAAATCAAATGCTCGGAATAAGCGTCAAAGCATCATCGATGTGAAAATAAATCACAATCGAAATCTCAAGTATATCCACATATCACACAATAAACCTGCATAAGACTCAGATCTCAACAAGCAAAGGTGAATTACAAATCTTAAATAATTGGATAATTCTGATTTAATTCCTAAACATATCTCCTAAAATCTAATATTTTTTATTAATGTTTTCGTTACATCAATATTTTTATGAACAAAATTGTTATATAACAATTATGAAAAGAAAAAGCTAAAGAAAAACTATAAAAAAAATCTACACAAGAGGAGTGTGAGTCTGGAAACAGGTGGTGTTGTAGCAGTTTAGGCGCTATGGCCCATCAAGTTGAAGCCATAAACTGTTTTTTTTTTTTGTGTTTGGCTAATAGGCTTCAAGAAACGCTAACGGGCTTAGGGAGAATACTAGTTTGGTCTATCCACACGCAAAGCCCAATTCAGCTTTTACGTTTTTAGCATATGCAATCAATTTTAATAATCGTTTAACAATTTATAATCGTGAAAATTGAAGCAAAATGAAAAGTATGGTAAAAGATAAAAAGATGGCGTTTTGGAAAAAGGATAGGGTTCAAAAGTTTGTGGCTTTGATTTTCACAAAAAAAAAACGGCTCTTCTCCTTCACCAAACGACGTCGAAAATGGAATTTCAATCTCACCTTTCTCATGCGAACTTCCAGCACATCGCCGTCTTCTGCTCTTGCTTCCTCTTCACTGTTCATCCAATTCCATTAACCTCTTATATTATCAAACTCGAATTACGATGACCCTCTTCTTCAAATGCGAACCATGTTGTCCGCTTCTCTGTTCAATCTTCTTCGCAGATTTCCGCTGCCGATCATCTCAAATCCCAAATCGCAGCGGCGACTATCTCAACCTCCTAATCACCTTTGTTGCTTTGCATCAAATGAAACAATTAACGACCCTAGGTTTCTCCAAGTTCCTATTAAGCGTTCATGATAAAATCTCTGAGCTCGATTCCATGGGGATTCGATTGTTCTCTTCTCACTCTACACAATCGTATTAAGAACGGCCGGAAGCGATGAAGATTGAAGCATTTTCGATGAATTTAATCTCATGTATTTTTGGTATTCTCTTTTATCTTCGTCTTCTTCTCTTCTACTTTCAGCCTTTGCTTATGTTCGCATCTTCCGTTGCGATTTTCAGTGAATCTTGATACTGCAACTTCGTCTCCATTCTTGCAGAAATATTGCGCTTGCTGTAATATGATTCACATGATGAATCAAAGACGATGAAGATTGAAGATATTGAAGGATGAACGTGATTGTGATTGAAGAATGGGGTGTGTGGTTGTGAAACCAATAATTCTCTTAGATGAAGATGATGATGCAAGTGTTGCGGATGAAGATTTATATGCAGATAGAGAGAGAGAGAGAGAGAGAGAGAGAGAGCTTTCTCTCAGTTTTGCTTATGTTGTTACGTTTGCTGACTGAAGTTGTGCAGAGAGAGAAGATGAAGATTACAGGGTCTGAAGGTGAATTTCAAAGGTGGTTATGGTGATTCATGTGAAGCTTGAAGGTGGTGATTGAAGAACGATGAAGATGAAGAAGAGAGTAGAAGAGAGATTTTTTTTGGTGATTCTTCAGGGTGTTGAAGAATGAATCAATTGCAAGGTGAGTTTTTGGTTTTATATTCTGTTAGTGTTTAGCAAAGTTTGTTAGAGGTGAAACAAAGTCTGAGCCATTCATGATGGATATCTGTTAGAGAGTTGAAGGGTGGGACTTGAATCAGTTAGAGGTTTTCTAAATTCTGTTATGGTTTTGGTTGTAGCTATTTTTTCGGTTAGTTAGCAGTTTTCAAAATTTTGGTTATGCTGTGAATTTTCCCTGATATCTTTGATGTAGCAAGTCTGCACGTGTGAATTAGTTTATGTAATTTTCCTCTTTTTCTTGAACTGATACCGGTTTTGGCACGGTTTGGTAATGTCATGTACAACAAGGTCTGGTTCGATTTTATGTTAAATTTCTGAAATGGTTTTGGATATTTGAACTCGATCTGGCTCAGTTTTGACATATGTTGCAACAGCAGGTTTTATGTGTAACATGGTTGGCATTTGGCAATTTTAACAGTAGGATTGATGCAATTTTTGAATGCCAATTGTTTTGGATTACATGTGCAGAGTTGTTTCAGTTTGGTGATTGTGTATGGATAAGGTTTGGAGTCTTGGGCATAACATGAGACTTCGTAAGCTAAAGCATGATATGAAGGCAATCTTGAGGATGAAAGTTAGGACATTAGGATTTTTTTTTTTTTGTAATCTCCTCTGTAAATGGTTAATGGTGTAATATACTCAGAACCTTCGTATGAAACTTTGTCCTGAAAGTTGAATGGGTTTGAGCAAACTTGACATCTACTTTGCATTTTAATTCTAAGTTTCCCTTGATTTTGTAATGATTCAAAGAATGAACATATAATCTTAGAAACTCCAAGAAAGAATCCAAATATTCAAAGCGACCTTCTCTCTCTCAAATTGAGCTTAAAATTCTCACTTTCTTTTGATTTAGTATTAACGAAATTCCATGGCTATAGTGTGAAGTAGTTGTGTAAAAGAGTAAAATTGTAATGAACATGTACTGATTTTTGTGAATTTAAGTGAAGCCTTCTTCAAAACATCTTCTAAATTTTCCCAAGTCTTCTTTAATAACTTGTACCTCAAACAATGATTGAGGTCTATTGAGATTCACTGATGAACATAACCCCGTAAGGAAACCTCGTGATTGACACTTGATTAGAGAAATAAACCTCAATCCAAGCGATGATGAAAACACCAAAAGAACTTTAATGCCTTAGCTCATGGCCACTTGGATGAAACCTTGTAGGAGGACCTTAACCTTGTAGCCATATCATGTAATGAACGAAACCAAAGTGTTGAGAAGAAGTCCATATAGGATATATAGCCGAAGCTTTGGAGATTCACTGATAACCTTGAGCACAAGGGATAAACCCTAATTCATTATTCTTGCACTTTAAGTTGAGATAAACCTGCAAAGTACAGAGAAATCCTAATGCACAAGTGAAACCTTATTCTTATCGACCTTTGATCCCAAATGCCAAGCCTTGTGGTTAATGAATGCATGATGTTGTTAAATGACCTAATGGAAGGTATGAAGATGAAATGGTAGGACAAATTTGGAGTATTACACCAGGCTAGAAATTTATGGAGATGAGAGAGTGTACCTGCAAGACACTCTGACGGTCAAGTAAGAATTGGTGCAAAGAGATACAAGAAAGAGATTGGAGTTTTTAGAGTGAATATTTGATATCTGACCTCACAAGTGTGGGGGTTTATATAGTGCCACTGACGCTTAGTCATTGATTCTTATTTTTGGGCCTGGATATCAGGTTCCCCCAAAAATAGGTAATTGTCAGGAACTAACCGTTGTGTCGATCAGAGGTGCTCGTAACTAGCCGTTACAACAGGCAGAGAAGTGTTTCATGAGCAAACGTGATTTCCAGTCATTCCTGGGTGGTTATCCCCATGCGGTCGGACAGGATAGCCAATATGAGCAGACATAAGCGGCCTTGGAGCCCCTGATGGCCAGGACTCCTCGGTTGACGAGCAGAAGGGATAACGTGTTCTTTATCCTTCATGTATTATTAGGTCAAGATTATTGGATCGTCTTACATGCAGAAGCGGATTGAGCCATGCATAACTATTGGACCAATCCAAAACAACTTATATTAAAAAATACTACAAATATCTATTTATATAAAAAATATGAGACAGTTATTTCATATTTAATACTATATTTATTAAAATCTCATTAATATATTTTATTATGAATTAAATATATAAAAAAAAGTTAATAAATTAATTTATTCCTTCTATAAAAATAGTTAACGGGGTTTAGATTATGTTAGGAATTTTGGTTTTTTAAAACAAAAGTTATGCCGACAAGACAATTAAATATTTTATGTTATATTTTAATTGAATAATGATAATTTATTTTTAATATAATAAAATTGATTACTATCAAAAACTACTTTAATACCCTAATAAATATTAATTAGAAAGAGATTTTTATGGGTTTAATCGACAAATTGTATTAGTAATGATTATTAGTGATTGTGTAATTAATAGTAAGATTTTTTTCAAATTCTTATAATATATGTGCACGCGTGTAGTTGCATTTCTTAGGAAAATAGAGAAACTTTTCGTTTTTCAATATGGCCTGCATAGTCATCTATAAAACTTGAGGAAGTATATTATTAGCAAAATTATTGTTTCATCCTTTTAAATTGACTCTAAACATGTGACATATATTACTTTATAAGGACAATTTTGAAAATTTATGATAATTTTTTATTATAAAACAAGTTGGTTTGTACATTGCATTTAACCACTTTATCACTTTTTTTTATGTAAAACTTACCTATTATTAAAACATTCCTCAAAATTTAAATTGTTTAAAAGATTTTTAATATAATAATAAAACAATTATAATACATTTTTATTGTGTTGACGTTGTTTTTTTATGAATAGATAATTAATGGTTGTTTTTGAAGGAGAATAACTGTTTATCACTAACTAATTGATTAAATTTAAATCCATTTTTTAAATAAAAAAGAAAATAATTAAATTATATTAATTATAAGAATCATACACAAAAATAAATATAATTTATAAAAGAATTATTAAAAAATAATATTTTTCTATATCTTCAACATAAAAAATGAAAAATTAAATTATAACAATTATTAAAGTTTTAAACATTATTGTTTTTATTTTTGTATTTTGAAAATTAATCACTAAATGAGTGACATTCAGATATACAATTCATTTAGAATTGCTTGTTGATAATTATTTGTAATTTTTTTATATCTTATAAAAATAGAGTAATTATAATTAATTATAAAATAAATAATTTAGAATATATTAATTATAAAAATAAAAAATAATTAATACTAAAAACGAGTCACTTAAAAGTTGTTAAGACAAATAATTCAGATAAAAAAAAATTATATTTCACTAATTAATTAATTTAATTTAATATTTTTGAAATATATATTAAGAAAAACATGACAATAGTTATAATTTACAAAATCTATCTATCAAATACACTAATTATAAATTTTACACGTAAATTTTATTATAGAAATGAATTATTAAAGAGTTTGACTATCACAATCTTGATTGACAATATTTTAACTATTAATCTTGTTAAGAATTCTATTGCATACGAGAGAAACAAACACATTGAGATGAGATTTCACTGCTTGAGGGAGTTGATAAGTGAAGGCAAATTAAGGTTGGGATATTGTAGAAGTGAAGACCAAGTTGCTGATTTGTTGACAAAGGGAGTAAAAAATGATGTTCAAGAGATTGAAAGTGAGCATGTGCATGAAAAACTTGGAGCATTTGAATTAAGGTTGTGTATTGAAAGTTTATATAATTCAAATGCATATTATAAGCTTCTGGAAGCTAATTGGAGGTTTCAACTTATTAAAAGAGTACTTATGGAAGTGGAAAGAAAAAAACAATTTTTTGGGTTCGTAACCGGTTACACATAATGGCGTAATTGGTTACATGCAGACTGTTATTTCTATTGTTTTGTTGTGGCAACCGGTTACTTGATTTTGTATAACCGATTACCAACTCGTGTTTTAGTTTTTTCAACTTATTTTTGAGTTGTTTTGATCTCAACTTATTTTGTTTAGCTTGTACAATTAGTCTCAATGTTGTAATGTGCAAAATTAATGAAAATTTCTCTTCTCACCCTCAGTTATTCTCTCTCTCTCTCTCTCTCTCTCTCTCTCTCTCTCTCTCTCTCTCTCTCTCTCTCTTACTCTAATTCTCTTATTTTCATGCTTTATCTTCTCCATAAACATAAAACCTCCATTGATCCAATTGAATGTACTAACAGAAATGGAATAAAATCCATACCACTTGATTCACTTCACTCGCTCCATCCGAATCTATCAGTCGAAACAAAGTCACGTTAATAGTCTGATAGATTTGTGTAAAAATTATTTACAAAAACTATCTTCATAGTACAACTTAAAAATTTTAATCATCTTATCTTCAAGGCATGACCAAGATTATAAAAGCAGAAAATGTTTAACGCAATTTAGTTTGAATTCACGGGTTTAGAGTATATTTGAATTGGTAGTATATGATGGAATGAAGTGATAACTAATGCAATTTTATTGTTTGAATTTGTAAATAATAGATAAAATGAAATGAAATACAATGGAATTCACCCTCTCATTCCATTCAATTCTCAATTTTTTGTTACATCCAATTTAATTTAGAGTGTATGTAATAGATTGACACATTTTTAATAAAATAATTAAACAATAAAATAAGATATATTTTCCATTCCGCTTTGCTTCATTCCCCCTGTTATGTTTTGTTCCACTTCGATCCATTATATTCTATTAATCCAAACATTTTCTCAGAGAATAAATGAATATTTTAGTGGTTGAAAATACACTATGTTTGAGAGTTCTGGTCGGATAATCCAATTTTCTCTCTCAATAATATGAGTATTCAGTTTAGAGACATTCATTCGATAAGAAATTCTTTCATTTCATCATTTTAAACCCAGTTCCTTTCACAAGAGTTGATCAAAAAATAAATATATTCCTAACTCCTAAGACCATAAACATTCAATTGCTTGTGCACAAGATAATAGCAAACTTTTCTATAATGATGATAAAAGGTTTTGACTTTTCAAGATAATCACAGTCCTCTTGTCAAAAATAGACTACCTTAGTACTAGTTCAGTTTAAAAAAAGGTTGAATTTTACATTTTACAAGCAACAATATATATATATATATATATATATATATATATATATATATATATATATATATATATATATATATATATATATATATATATATATATATATATATATATATATATATATATATATATATATATATATATATATATATATATATATATATATATATATATATATATATATATATATATATATATATATATATATATATATATATATATATATATATATATATATATATATATATATATATATATATATAT